CAAATAACAATGAAGAACAGCTGCATCCTTGTCTAATGCCTCGTTGAATTTCAATGTGCCCTGGGGTAACGACACACAGCTATTAATATCTTTATACAACATATTAATTAATCCCACAAATCTGTCACCAAAACCAAAGTGTTGTAATGCTTGTAAAATAAAAGAATGCTCAATAGAATCAAAGGCTTTGTAAAAGTCCAAAAAACAAACAAACATGAAACTATCATCCTCAATATGGTTATTATATTCTATCAGATCCAGAGCCAGACGGATGTTATTATGAATAGATCTACCTTTAATAAAACCTGACTGGGTTTCACTAACTATTTGTGTAATACCTTTCTTAAGTCTTTCAGCTAATACACCCGATACTATTTTATAGTCTGTGTTCAGTAATGTGATAGGTCTCAGATTATCCAGTATTCTTTTATCTTTACCAGATTTGGGGATAACAGTTATAACTCCTTGTTTCATAGAAGGCATCAGTTTTTGTCTCTCAATACATTCCACTGTAGCATTGAACAACAGCTGTCTAACCTCAGACCAGAAAAACTTTTAAAAATTGGCAGTTAGCCTGTCAAACCCAGGGGCTTTACCCACTGCCTTTTTAGGCATGACAAGATCAAACTCCTCTATTCTAAAATCAGAGTCACACAGGTCTTTAAAGGTTTGTTCAATACTTGGAACGTATGCTTTCACCTTTTCAAAAAACAAGACTGAATCAGTAGCCAGAGATGATGAAGAGTATAAGAACTTATAAAACCTAAAAACGTCCTTTCTAATTTTGTCAGGATCACTGCATTCATCCCTGTCCACAATTTATCTATTTATAGTGTTTCTCTCCTGTCTACTTTTCTCAAGTTTAAAAAAATATGTTGAATTTTTTTTCACCTTCCTTTATCCATCTAGCTCTAGATCTTATACAAGCACCCCGAGCTTTTTTGACATAAAGTTCATCCAACTTAGATTGTAGTGAAGCCAATGTTTCAGCATTATTAGTGCTGATGTCATTAGAATATTTGTGAATTTCTTGTAATGAGGAGCATTCAAACTCTCCTCTCTGTTGACATAACTTCTTGCTAAACCTTATGAAAACCTTATAGAGTCTTTCCTTATTTTGTGTTTGAGGAATTCCCATTTTCTCCAGCTAGAAGGAAATCGAGGATCCTGGCTGATGTCAAGATCAACTTCCTAACTTCATTACAATACTCTTCCTGTTTCAGTAAGTCATCATTAAATTTCCAATATCCTTTACCTTTGAGAGGTTTGGTAACAGGTTTCAAATCTATCCTGACTAAACAGGATGTGAGAGGTGCCTGTGACAACGAAGAATCAGATGTGCATCTCAGCACTGCCTCTGTTCCGAGCCAAAAATCAAATCCTCGATTTGTTGTTAGCGTTTGGTTTAAACCAAAAAAACTGCTTGTCGTGTGGATGTATGCATCTCCAAATATCAACCACTTGGCTATTGTTTGTAAAATTTATAATAAGAGAGTTGCAGTATGAATTTGGATACCTAGATGGCCACCTGTCAAGCCACTCATCTGGTGACAGACTGAAATCTCCACCAACCAATACATATTCAGTTTTTTGGATTTTAGGTCTGCAATTACCACTGTTAATTTCAACAGAAGCTCTTTGCTTTCTTTTACACTACTATATCCATATACATTGACCATAACAAAGAATGAATTATCAATGTCCATCGCTACACCTAACCAGTGCCCCTCTGTATCTGCAACATGTGTCACAAGTTTACCTGGAAAATTGTTAAAACAGACGGCCACTCCACCTGAGCGATTGGTCCCATGACTAAATAACATCAGGTCTCCCCACTGAGTCTTCCAGAAGGTAAGAGTCTGAGCTACATGAGTGAGTCTCTTGAAGAAAATAGCAGTGTGACCTCTGTCCCTTACAGAACATAAATACACCTTTCCTTTTAATATTGTCTTTTAAACCCTTGGTATTCAAAGAGCAAAACGAAATATTTGCTTTCAACAAGGGCAAAGAAGTCAAGTCTAAAGAAAGAAGTTATTTGAGAAGAGTAACAAGAGTTTGGTCATAGAAGCAAAGCTTAGATGCATTGCCCGATATTTCAAGTAGCCACCAAGAACTGAGATGACATGAAGTATGACCTGTCAAAGTCACACTGTGATCCTACACCCTTCAATGTAGCCGAAGGGACCTCTGAAATACGCTGCTTTATTCTCCAACTTTGCTCTTTCGATCATGGGCCAAAGTAGCTTCCTTTCCATCAGATCCTTGCGGGTCCAATGCTCTGCCCTGAATTTGCACCTTGCTGTAGGCAGACGCTAGACAAGTTCAGCATTTAAATAAATTTAATTTAAATTTTTTTCAAACGTTCTTATTTTATAATGAGCCTGACATATAACTGTTATACTGTACAAGTTATTGAATATATGCGAGGTAGACCGAGGCCCTATTTTGTGGCCATTGACTGTATGGGAGGCGACAGTGGTGCAGTGGGTAGAGCAGTTGTCTCCCACCCAGAAGGTTGAAGGTTCAAATCTTGGTGCCTGCAGTCCACGTGTCGAAGTGTCCTTGGGCAAGACACTGAACCCCCCCTGACAGTTAGAGCCATTGGTTGATCTGACACCACAGATGGCTGTCATTGGTTCTGTACCGGAAACAATTTCCTTGTAACATACTTGGCCAATAAAGGTGATTATCCTTATTATAAACGATGGATGTCGGAGAGCTCCCGGAAGTAGTGGCAGTATTGGTCAGAAATTCTGCCCCCTCCATGTTGGTGAAAGGGACATGAGTCAACCTAAAAACTCATGATACAAATCACATAGAAATTTCTGTCATTTTTGGTAGATATAATCACACTGATGTGTTCAGGTGGGCATTTTTCTGGCAAGTTATTTTATGATATACACTCACCGTACACTTTATTAGGTACACCTGTAGAACTGCAAATATCTAATCAGCCAAACACATGGTAAGGATGAGGATAATCACCATTATTTGGCCAAGTATGTTACACACATGTGGGTATCCCCCTCCAGCCACCAGGGGCAGCAGGAAACAAATTGCTGCTTGGTGCACCAGGACAAGAAGAAAAACATGCCAAACTAGGACAAACCACAAAGGTGAGATTTATGCTTTACTGCAGGTGTTTTTCGAAACATCGTGGTCTACTTATTCAACAGACAAGACTTTAAGGGCAGTTACTAAGTGGTTGGTTTTGGATTTGTTTTCCCATTTCCGTTAAAGTGTTGTGTACACCTATGTCCTGACTGTTTCTTTGAGATGTATCCAGGACTTGTCTCCGTTCTAAAGGGGGCTAGTGCTGCCTTTGTTTGGCAGGATTTGCAAGTTGGTATGTGTTTTGTCAGTTTCTTTTCCACCTGTGTCATTTCTTGAAACAGGAAAACTGAAATGCTGCTACACAACAGTTCTATAAGTCGACGATGGAGCAATGCCATTATACTAACAAAATAATATGTAGATATCATCGTAGTCACACAGCATTAGACATTTTTCCATTGCAATATTGCAAAATTACAAATATCGTTACATCCCTACTAAAATGTGATTCTGACAGGCATATCGTATGAGGCAAACATCATACTTACTGTTGATTTACTTATTTTTTTTTACCTTTGTATTTTATTCAGGGTAGGTTCACTGAGAGGCCACCTCTCTTTCAGGGACACCCCCTTTTACTGACCTGTGGACAGCTCCACTGGAGCAGCTTGAGGTTAAGCTTTGCCGAAGGGCACCACCACCGGTGGTGTTAATGGCGGCGAGGCAAGTGATGCTTTGTCACCTGCCCCACCCAGATTGTATCCTGGTGGTCCAGGGATTGAAGCTAGCAGCTTTCAAGATTCATGATTTTTATTAGCATTTATGCATAAACAGGCATAC